GTAATTTACTCTTATTTATTTATTGATTTCTCCTCTCACTTTTGTTTCTGAATTCAATTTTGACTCTTTTTATGAAAAGGTGATATAATACTCAAGTTGGCATGATATAAATCATAGTCTAGTAGAAGAGGAAGAAAAAAGGTTGAAAAAGAAAACATGGGTTTTGCTTCAAGAGTTGGAAATTCTAACTGTGATTATTCCTTTAAGGTTTTATTGGTTGGTGATTCTGGTGTTGGAAAGAGTAGTCTTCTTTTCAGCTTCATTTCCCAAGCTGTTCCTGATAGTCTCTCCCCCACAATTGGTACATTTTCTTGAGGATGGAATTAACATACTCATTTTATACTTCTATGTACCTTAGGATGATGATATTTCATTCCATGTTTTTTTAATCTGTTTCTTTATGTTCTTTAAGCTCATGCCACATAAAATTATGTTTTTTTAACCTTGTGTTTTTTTCAATGAATATTATGTTAAACCCACTTTGCAAGTAACTTTTCATCCACTATTTGGGAAAAAGAAATCACTATGATGGTCTACATATATTTAAAATTGGGACAAGTTCACATCTTTGCAATTTTTTATGCTGTGTTAAGAAATTTCAATTAATTGATCCATTATGAATATCCTCTCTAGTGCCAGAGATGGAAGTACATAAAAACAAAATATAAATAAGATGATATGACACTTTTATCCTTTACATGATTCTTTTCTATACGGAATTGTAAAATGATGTTTTTGTGACATTTGTTCTTGGTTTCTTATTTGTCTCTTAGGTTAAGATGGTAATAGTTTATCAGAATTTGTGAGACATATTGAGTGCTTCATAGCCTAAGGAAGTTTTGCACACAAATTTCAATTTTTATTGTTCCTTTTTACATTCTGAGTTGATAGTATTCTGAAATCATTCACAGGTGTGGACTTCAAGGTCAAGCTTTATACAGCTGGTGGTAAAGGAGTGAAGCTTACTATCTGGGATACAGGTATAACATATTTTCTACTTATTTCTTTGCACTTTCATTCATCATTTTCTAAAGAAATTGTTGTAACATTAACATTGTTTATTGTCTGTCATTTATAAACATGTTCACCCATGGTATTTCTATGGATGACAAAAATATCCGACAAAATACCCACAACGGATACCCGCGTATATATTTTATACATTAAAATTATCGTTTTATCGGCACTTGATTAAAAGATTGGTGTTCAGCATTTATCATCTAAAGGACAAAAATCTTAAATGAAGAGCAAAAATTATAATGTGGTTCAAGTTTAGTTCCATGTTGAAAAAAATCTAATTTCTTTGCAGCTGGACAAGAGAGGTTTGGAACAATAGTAAGCTCTTACTACAGAGGAGCACATGGAATCATTATTGGTATGCTATATTATAAAATTGCATTTTTTTACATATATATCCACCCCTTTATTAATTTCATATTTAGGCATTTATACTATAATTGACATTGATATATTGTATAATTGAATGTGAAATACACATCCATTTATGGGTTATATCATTAAAGAAAATGTTCTAGCATTCAAAAGCAGAAAAGTGTTATGAGATGGAGCATCTGCAATTGTATACTTGTGTTTATAATAGAGTAGCAGTGTACAATTGTATAGTTTCAACTTCAATCTATGTTACCTAGAGTCGATGCTCGATCCGTTACCTTTGTCGTCTACTTCCTATATTCATAAGACTTTCCTTAATGGTCTTCTATACACTTTCATAATTGTTAAGTTCTTGAAACTTGCATCAATGTGTAGTTGCTCACTCCTTAAGCTTGTCAATATTGCATATACTGTTGACATGTAATGGCCTTTTCCCCTTCAATTTTATGATTTATAGTCTACGATGTATCGCGGCGTGAGACATTTACAAACATCGAGGATATATGGGCAAAAGAAGTTGAGCGATACTCCACTAATCATGAATGCATCAAAATTCTAGTCGGGAATAAAGTGGACAAGGTAAAGTTTATGCTGAATGGTCTTGCAGTCTTTTCCTTAACTCGGGAAACAATCTCAGTACTCATACTCGCTAATTGCGAAGTAAATTTTGAGTTATAACAGAACTTCAATTTTCCCTGAATATTATGTTATTGTTTTTTAATTTCTCAGAATTCTGAAGATAGCCCGTTTTTATTACTTTTCAGGAGAGTCAAAGAGCTGTAACAAAAGAAGAGGGTATGGCTCTTGCACAGAAACATAGATGCTTATTCATTGAGTGTAGTGCTAAAACTAGAGAAAATGTTCAGCAATGCTTTAGTGATCTCACATTGAAGGTATTTATGATTTTATGACATATGCGGCCTGCAGTGAAATACTACACCACATCTTGACCCAAAACCTTAAGACATTATCTCTATGATAAGACTTCTTTTACTCATATTTACATTATTGGTTTACAGATATTAGAGGTGCCAAGTTTAAGGGAAAAGGGATCTGTGCAAATGAAGAAACAAAAGCAAAAGCGCATATATGATATGCGTCGAGGTGGTGGTGGTTGTTGTGGACAATAGTAAATATGCTGGTACATGATTGTGCAATAGATTTTAGAAAAAATATTAAAAAGACATGGGGTGTCAACCCGATTAGTGAAGAGATTGTTGATATGGATATTGCTCTCAATATGGTAGTCAAGATGATCACAAAGCTCTTAATATCTTGAAATTTTCTCTCTGATGTTATAATTTTGGAAACATGTATGGTCTTGTACATGTGTAAATATGTCTTCAGTTTGAATGTGTTAATGGGGTTGGTTTGAGATTTTGGTTTAGTTAGGATATTTAGTAAAAATTTATATTCTACTTTTGGTTGTGCTTTTCACCCTCTAACCTTAGTTGAACAATAATTTTGTATTCATATTATATCTGTATCTTTTATTGACAATGTTCAGATAAACATGATCAAGCCATTATCTTGTGGTCATGTAAAAATGTGGGTGACTGCTAGTGTAGTTTGACTTAAAAATTACCGTATAATTTTTTAAAATATTACGGGGATACTATATATTTTGCGGAACTCGTATTTGACATAGAAAAGCTATTTTTTAATAAAAAAATTTCCAATGAGATTTGTGTCTCGCATGCATGAGTCATTTTTTAAAATGTATCTAGTATATTACTCGTGCATTCGCACAGGTAGTATCGTATTTTGGATGAATATATTTTAGTAGTATATATTAATTTTTAGCTAAGCAAAAGTTATATTGCTATATATGCACATATATACATCTGTGTTAATAATTTCATAAACATGATATTAAAAAATAAGGTCAAGTTAATCAGTAAGTACAAAATAAATAATATACATGGTCCAAATACATATATGTTCACTAAGGTTCAAAAAATACATATATGCTGATATATGTTCACTGACCCAAATACAAATATATTCACTGACACAAATACATATATATTCATAAGAGGTGATGTTCAAAAAATTAAATGTTAATAACTGATGTGAGGTTCAAAAAATTACACCACAGTGAATATACATCACATTTGGCATGCAACAAAAACGTAAGTGGTTACAAAAAACTCATTAAATTTAATGCAGAAAACTCATCCACTCTTCGTATGCTTATGGGCATTTGAAGATGACATTTCAGATTCAGCATAAAAAAGACTTTGAGAGTTGTCCGCATCAATCTCACCCTGCAATCTCTTCGATAAACTTATGACTTGAATGTTGTTTGAGTCATGTTCATCAGTAGAGGATACAGTCTATAGATAAACATAACAAACATTTGATAGTATTAGAGAAAGTATAGGGAATGCCTTTTGCATTTAAAAATAGATAAAATAAAACATATATACAGTCACAATTTTAAATTGTTGGGAATCATTCGGAAGAGAATTCATATTTACTTGGTTAGAAAATGTAGGTTGTTTCTAACTATGTTAATGTTAATAAAAAAATAGACCTAGAACCATTACCTCATCTGATGGAAGTGGCTGGTCAGCAGCATGCATTGAGTCCAAACGTATACGCATAGTAGAAAAACTACAGCAACATATTTATTACAATCCTATTCAAAATTGGAGAAGACTTGGGTAGATAATATATAAAAAAAGAAATTTTTTCATAACGGGTACCGCAAAAATAGCTAATGGGTGGGTACGGCTATCAGGATACATGCCTCGTGGATACCCGCATATATATTTTAATTAAATATTTTATACTTAGTTTTTATTAATTTAACATTATATTTATTTACTTTATTATTACTTCATAATAAAATTTAATAATGAGGCTATAATTTAAATTGGAAATTCGTTGGATATCCGCGAATACCCGCATATAGCACGGGTATGCACTACTCGTGCCCCGTGCCCATTGTCATCCCTAATAATGTATGAGTTTTATACAATGTCAATACATCATCTATCATTCAGATCTAATCTTTATTGACTCTTAAAAAAAGTAATTCAAATGAATAATAAATGATGTAGTGACTGTTTATAAATCTTCACAACACTAACAATGCATAAATATTATACTCTATTTTGTTTTCCTCTGATTTACCAAACTCTAGAATATAACATTTATTATGTTAACAGTGTAATGCTAATTCTATTGATTTTAATGAGAATAATGTTACGTGTGTTTCTATATATTTTTTTGGAAGGTAATCATCAACTTTTTAAATTATGTAGTTACTAATTTTTCTCAAAGTTTAATATAAGAACGATTTTGTCATAATCTTATTTAAAAACTTACTATTTATGAGCAAATAACTAAGTATCACGACCAACAATAATTTCACTCTCTTAAAGTAAAATAAAGTTAATTATTTATTTTGTGCACTCACACAAAATACTGCTTATTATTGATGATGAATGAGTTTATTATTGATATTCCTAATTGTTTGTTCACCCCTATTAACCAATTATAATTATAAAGCATAAACCTATAATAATTGGTTAATAAAGATTGTGGGTAGATAATTTGGAGTGTCAATAACATTGATCACCATTTAAAATGATAATGAAATAAGTATAATAAAAAATATTGTAGAATAACATTGATCACACATCATATGCATCTCTTTTATTCTTCCAGATCTACAAATTTCACTGTAACTCCAATCAAATGAAGCATCACAAATGTTGGATGTCTAAGCCTTCCATTCACAATTTTCAACATGGGAGAGTGCTACATCAAAGTCTTTGAACGTATATCTTAAATTATCATCCTCAAGAAATCTTCATGCTCTTTGTCCTCTGCTTTGATTGCTCTATCTAAAATACCCCTTATTTAGCATTTGATAAAGATAAGTATATGATCAAATCTATAACTAACAATGAATGTTATCAATAACAATACTTTACAACACCTTATGTTGTCTAACCATGCAGCTTGAAGACATGATTATTATCTAACTAAAGTAATCTTTTACCAAATCATTTTCAAGTGCAATAAAAACAAACGAATGATAAAATTTACAATTATGTAATCAAATAATTGAAGGGCATTATCACCTATTTGCAATTTGTGATAAAATAAAGAAGCTAGAGGAAGATAAAGGTATTATCACCTATTTGTTATCAAAATAATTAACATCTCAAACCATAACAAAAAAATAAACATAATGACACAAAAACAATAGCAGAATGATCAAATTATGTACATTGTAGCTGCTAAACACAATATTAATACCTACCACCATCAGATAATTTCTCTTACTGAATAATTCAGTCTTGCTTATATCTTTTGGTACAGGAGAATCATTTTGTATAAACTCCTAAACTATCCTTACAACAACCAATTTTACCTCTAAATTTGAAATAGTATTGTCTAAAGTTCTACGATCAATACATTCTCTTAAAGTTTAACATGAGAAACAACAAAAATAATTAAACTTAAAAATGTAAATAAGAATTTGCAATAGTAATCTTGTTTCTTGCCATTACAATTTGCAATAGTGATCTTGTTTTTAGCTCTTGCAATTTGCAATCCACTTTCAACATTTTTTTCTTCATATTGAGATTTGAAAATACACAAAATGGATAACCTAACATAACCCATGTGCGACAGCTAGTGGATGTAAATAAAGTAATGAAGGAACAAAAAGACCCACACAAAATAAAACATGCAAAACTATAAAAATCTTATCTCAGAAAAATATGACTAAGAACACAAATATGACTAAGAACACAGAGAAGAAAAAAATCATACATTTGGGTAGGTTGGTGAACATATAAGCGAATACAGGAAAAAAATGAGTTGAAAGATATAAAAGTGAAAAAGAAAGAGAGAATATTGAAAGAGAGAAGTGGAAGTAGCAAAAATAAGATAAAAGAAATAGAAAGCATACTGAAAAAAAGATAGAAATATTAAACACACATAAAACTTAAACCACAATCATTCAGACATTTCATCAAACATCTTATGATCATTAACATAAAAATGATAAAATGAGAAATTACATTAGGGAAACATTTTCCACAAATTGGAGCAACGAATAAACTTGATGTGGTCCTTGTTACATCCACCATTCCTATGTTTGACGTTTCAATCATAAAATGTTTATGATTTCAAATTTCAAAATTAAAAATATGTATTCAAAATGACATAATAAGATACATAATAAAATGACATGTGTCAATCTTCATAATTACTTTGAGAAAGTGTGCATTAATTGTCATAGCAAATGATTGAATTATCCCAAATATTTTTGAAATAAACATATAAGATTGCAGGACTAAATAGTAATAATAAAAGTAAAAAAAGTTTATTAGTTTTTATTGTTGAGTAACCATTTTACCCTTGAAAAGAACAAGTGTCAACAATATGAAAGTTTATTTTAGTAATTTCTCAAACCCCTTCAATTAATATAGATATATAGATATAGATATATAGATGCAGGAAAAAATAAACAAATGTATTTACTTAGCTATTTTAACATAGAACTCTTGTAAGCATATTTTTGGAAAGTCATTTGAAAATAGCACCCCTGAATTACATTTTCCAAAGGTAGCTTCTGTCATTTTACTTTTTTATTTTCAGTAGCTACTTTTAAATGACTTCCACAAGAGGAGCACTTTTTTAAACTTTGGGTAGTTCAAGAACCAAACTGAAGAAAAGGGTGAGTGTATTTAAATAACATTTCTTTAATAAATTTGATTATTTTATAACGACTCAAAATGAATTTTTTTTACCATTTAGTATGTTTTTGCTTTATTTCATACTAGCGTGTTGACATACATTTACGTGTCTGTAAACCCATTTTTTATTGAATGAATTGTAATTGATTTGTATATTTTTATTACATTTTTCATAACTATAACAAAATCAACAAAACATGATTTGAAATTTTGCATGTTAAAAAATGAAAAATGATAAATTGTCATGTTCAAATAGAAAAATTGTAAAACTTACATAAACAAACGTGAAACATAAAATAAGGAAATATGTTATATGGTTTTTTGGTATAAAATATAGATTAGTAAGGGCAAATTAGGAAAACACAAATTACACCATCATGAGTAGTTATTTTGTGTTTTCCCTTTATATAAATTAATATATATAATATATAATTATGTATCACTCATGTGGGAAATGATAACAAAATAAGTTTTAACACATACTAATATGTTAAATATGACAATGATAATTTCTTACAACTTAATGGAGAAATAGAAATTCAACTTTAGTTGAATCAAACAACAAGTTCTTTCTCCACTTACTACTCCTTAAATATTTTCAAAATATACTAATCCAACAAAATAACAAAATTTTGAATAAGATGTTTTATTATTTTCATTTTAATATAAGAATATACAATTTCTATATTATTTATATTATTATCAGTTTTTTATATAAAATACAAATTTTTATTTGATATTGAGTTATGTACTATATCTTTTGTTATCACAAGAACATCTTAAAATAATGATAACAAATAATGGTTTATAGAATATTGTGCATTTAAATCATTTGTTGGTTCTAGTCTTATATTTTTATTAACAACAAATTTAAGTATTGAGTATAAAATAAATTATATTTACTTTGACTTTGAGATTAGTAATAAACAATCATTTTTTTACATACAAATATATGTGCTAATGAAATGGTCATATAGAATAAATAATACAACTTTTTGATATCACACAAGATTTATGCAAAACACGGTACATTGTTGAGCCAAGTCCAAATAAAATTAAAGTTAATATATTTTCATTATTTTTGATTCGTTACAAAATAAATTAATAATTCAGATACAATAAAGAGAAGAGTAATTTAAGAATCAAATTCTATATGTAAATATAAATGATCAATTTATCATAACTAATATATAATTAATTAATTAAAAGTATATCACACTAACACTAGTTCAAATTTAACTTAATTACATTTATTATTATTTAAAAATTGTCATAATTAATATATATATATATAAATATGGGAGATTATATTTAATCTCCTGTCACCCACCCTATTCCTCCAACTCTTTTAACAGTACATGCAACCCATTAAATCCATAACTTTGTTACCATTTAATTTGCCATTTTTTAATATCTATACACATCATTCAACCAACCGTATCTTGCCACGTGTACACGCTCACATAGATAGAAGGAAGAATGTTAACACACTTACATCATAAATCCTGTAATTTATTTTAAAAATATTTACATATTCTATTTTTAGTAAGAGAATAATATATCTCCTGGTACAAGAAAATAATTATCTCATCCAAACACTAAAATTGTGAAATGTGTACTATTTTATTATTTTCTACAAAAATATTTCTAAAACTAAACTAAATAATACACATGTCATTTTTTACTGGCTGGAGGGAGTAAGTTATTTCTTGAAATAATAAGATATTTTATTTTTTTATATTTTAATTATGTAAACTAGCGTGTCGACAGGCACTTCGTACCTGCCGACGCCCATTCTTATTTAAAGTTATGATTTATAATGTGTCGTCTTATTTGTGGTTAAAAAAATCATAACTCTTTTATTTTGATTTTAATTACCAATTTATAATATGTGATGAATAAATAGTGTAAATGAATAAATCATAACCACACATATATAATTTATATAAAAATGGTGAATTGTTTAAAAATAGCATAGAATATGCATTGAGTATTGATAAATATTGGGTTATATATGGTTTTTGGTAGAATTTATAAAATAAAGAAGGCAAAAATATGCAACAATAAATTACACCATGTTTGGTGGTTAATTTGGGTTTTACCTTTATATATAGTATAGAAGTATAGATATAAATATATAGTATAGATAAATATATATGTATATACTATATAATAATGTCATGATGATGAAATGAAATATATGATTTTTTTTTTGTAAAAATCAAAAGATGGTAAGGGTAAAATTGGAAACCAGAAATTACACAATAATGAGGTGGTTATTTTAAGTTTTACCTTTATTAGTAGTATAGAAGTATAGATATAGATATAGATAATATTTTGATAAAAATTAAGTCAGTATTTTTTTTTTATTTTTAAAATTTTAAATGCAAAATGATAATGGGTCAATTTCCACTTGTATGATTGTATGAGTAAACTAATTAATGCACATATCTATTGGTAAGAAATTCACTTTAGAGATTTTATATTCACAATATGGTTTTATAACCGTCGTGTTCAAATAGAAAAACTGTAAAACTTACATAAACAAACATGAAACATAAAATGAGGAAATATGTTATATGATTTTTTGGTAAAAAATATAGATTAGTAAGGGCAAATTGGGAAAACACAAATTACACCATCATAGGTAATTATTTTGTATTTTCCCTAAATATTTACATTTAATGCAGCTGGTTATATGATTCTAACATCTGAGTTATAATTTTTATACTTAATACAATGTATAGATATTACAGATTTATAAAAAAAAATAACATTTAATTTTAGATGTGTTCCTCTTTCCTTTTTCTACCCCTGAAAAGTCTGGAACCTTCTATTCCTACCTCAAAACCCCCAAACTCTGCTTTCTTCTATTCCCAAATGTCTCAATTTTCTTCTTTCTTCATTTCTCAACTCTGCAATTGAAAACCCTAATCCCCCAAATTCAACCAATTTTCACCATGTCCGATACTTCCCAAACTTCATTCTTTCCCGGTTTCCGATTCCACCCTACCGACGAAGAACTCGTCCGATTCTACCTCAAGCGCAAACTCACCGGAAAATACTTCCGTTTTGACCCCATCGCTGAAGTTGATGTCTACAAAAACGAACCATGGGACCTTCCTCGTAAGTATCATTTTCCCTTCGTTTTTTTCTTCACATGTTTCTATATTTGTTTAGGGTTTATTTCGTTCTTAATTTGATCACGCTTTTTTCATAGCCATGTCGAAATTGAAGACGAGGGATTTGGAGTGGTATTTCTACAGTGCACTGGACAAGAAGTATGGTAACGGCTCGAGGACCAAACGTATCACTGAGAAAGGTTACTGGAAAACTACTGGCAAGGACCGCACCGTTAAGCATGGCAGCCGCACCGTTGGAATGAAGAAGACACTTGTTTATCACGCTGGCCGTGCGCCTCACGGTGATCGCACCAATTGGGTGATGCATGAGTATAAGCTTGTGGATGAGCAATTGGCTCAAACTGGAATTCTGCTGGTATTGAATTGTTCATATGTGTTGGATTATTTGTTTGTTTAGGACTGAATTATTATTTCGGTTCAGTTCCTTTCATAAGTATTTGTCACTGGTTTTAGGAATTTGTTGTTTTCACCTATCTGCAATTTTAAGCACCACTCATATTATTTATCAATCAAATAAGTCCCAAGATTTATGTACTAATATGACTAGCACTTACAATTTCAGGGACTAAAATGATGATTCCCTAGAATGAGGGACTAATATGATGGGTGCTTACTAATTCCGGATTGAAATGGTGGTTTTATCTTTATTTATTTATATCTTAAAAGTATGTTTTTAGTCTGTGTAAAATAAGTTTTCTTTGTTTTTAGTCCTTGGAAAATAATTTTTTTGTTGAGTCCCTCCAACGTAATTTATTTTGATTTTCGTCTACGCTATTAGCTTAAATCCATTAAGTGCCAATGTGTCATCTTCATGTGGTACCACATGTCATCTATGTGTAGGACTATGACATCACTTAACTAATTTCAGTTAACGGCAGGAATGAAAATCAAAATAAACTAGGTTGCCGGGATTAAACTAAATGGTTCTACTTTAGTCGGACTAAAATCACATTTAAGCTTTTATTTATTTACAATGGGATGCCTTTGATGCTTCTAATTGGATATGGAATTTGTTTGTTCTGTTTTGTTTGGGGGGAGAAGGATGCTCTTGTGTTGTGTAGGATCTTCGAGAAGAGTGGTGCTGGTCCAAAAAATGGAGAGAAGTATGGTGCTCCATTGATTGAGGAGGAATGGGAAGATGATGAGGTAGCTCCTATGCCCGTTGCATGTGTTGAGGTGTCAAATAAAGCGCTTGCTGTTGAACCTATTGATTTTCTTGAAACTAGCGACCTTGAGAAGGTTTGTGTTCTATCGCAAATGA